GGCTTCTCGGCACTGAGGAAGCATTTCCAATTATAGAACATGAAAGCCGGTCACTGGCCAGGGTTAATACAACGCTCTGCGAGGGGAAAGAGCAGGCGAAGCTACCCAGATCCCTAATTACCTGGAAAGGTAATCCTGCATAATTGGAATTGGAGCAGCTAAAGTAATCGTTAGATGTTGTGATCTGGGAGCCGTCCTCTCCCGGGCTGAGGGGCTTACATGAGTCCATAATTAGAGATGCTGAACTTTGGGAAAGAAAGACAGAATTGGAGCTAGGGAGGTGGGGTGGGTCCGGTGGCCCTGAGGCTCAGCAGCCTGGAAGGGAAGGGTGGTTGAGGAGGGAAGCGGCAGAGCCCACAGGACATTGGTCAAGCGTCCTCTACAGTAGAAGGTGAGTCAGGGTTGACCAAAGAGTGTTGTGTGACCTTAAGCGAGCACTTATACCTCTCTGGGCTCCTGTCCTTCCATTACTCAGCTCTCCACCATTGTCTCCTGAGAACCTGCTGCTGCCCCCACACTGACAACACAGCCCGCATTTTCACAGGCCATTCGTCCCCACAGGGCTATTCCTCCTGCTGCCCTGAGACCAGACAAGAAACCATTTCTAGACTGTTCCTGCATCAGCCACATCCACCTCTCCTCCTGAGGGTCTCTGTCCACAGACTGTGGCTCTGACAACTTGTCTGTCCCTCTACAACAGAGGTTCCCAACCTTCCGAATGCTGTGACCCTCAGGTTGTGGTGAACCCCAACCATAAAATTATTTCATTGCTACTTCATAATTGCAATTTTGCTACGGTTATGAGTCATAATGTAAATATCTGATATGCGGGATATCTGATGTGCAACCTCCAAGGGGGTCGGAACCCACCAGCTGAGAATCATTTCTCTAGAGCTTGGCTGGCGGGGGGGGAGGGGTGTCTCCACACTGCCTTGCTCCAATCACACACAGAGGGACAATTGCAGGTGCAGGTTGGGTGACAGAGAACAGGACAGCCTGCTCCTGGGCAAGGTGACAGTGTGCCTGCCTGGGGTAGGGGGTGGGGTGAAGGGCAAAATGGCACCAGGCAAACAGGCTCTGCTGTGTGTTTGTTTTCAAGAAAGGTTGTTACTGTGAAGCCCAGGCAGCAGGGCTGAGGACTGTGCAGGCCAGCAACGGCCCCAGGGTAGTACCAATGGCAGTTGGGGCCCCTGTGGCACTGGTTCCACTCTCTCTCCAGTATATTCCCATCTCCACATACCCCTGTTCTCCAACATAAGCAATAAAACGCACTAAATTAAGTGAGCAGAAGAATTGCGCTATGATCAGGACAGAGCGGTGGGGAGGCTGAGAAACCGGAGGAGCGCGGCTGAGAACCAGCTCAGCCAAAGCCTGGATCAGCGACCTGAAACCAGCTCCCTGTGACATTGTTTCACACAAATTTCTGCCCAGTACCCTTCAAAGACCCTGGCTTGCCGGCTGCAGGAAGTGGAGATGGAGACGGCTTACAGCAGCTCAGCCATGTAGGCTGGAGCAGATGCAGGCTGCAGAGGTTGGAACCAGGTCACTAGACAAAAGGTATGGCCCAGATCCGCGCCCAAGACACCCTCCCTCTTTCCTTTTTTCATTCATCAAACCTTTACTAAACTCTTTCTATGTGTCAATAATATTTGGCACTCTAGGGTGAGAGAGGACAAAACATATCGCCTGTCCTGAGGGAGTGCCAGTCTGGTACAGGTGGCTCTGAAACAGTGTGATTGGGGTTGACATGACCCACTGTGGACAGGCATCTTGGGAAGGCTCAGGGATGGCTTTTCAAAACGGGTCGTGTCTATGAAGGGTTTGAAGTATGAATAGAAGTTTGTAAGGTCAAGCAATATCAACAAGGTACAGAGGCATGAGAAGATGCTGGAGAGTTAAGGAAACAGATGTTGGTAGGGAGGCAGGCCTAGTGCCCTTGGCCAGGCCCCATGTTGCCATAAGCAGATGGCAGATGTTCACGCTCACCATTGTCTTCTAGAGTATTCTGTAGGTGCAGAATGGATTTTAAGCAGTGCAGCCTGGAGAACAGGCGGCCAGCTGAGAGGTCACTGTGGAAACCCCAGAGAGAGTGAGGCACGAGGTCCTCTAGAGAAAAGAGGTGTGGTGCTTGCCATACAACTAGACCTAGAGAAAGAAAAGTGACAGACGGCTGTCTCGTGCGCAGGTCCCCAAGGCTTAGCTATGATACAGAACAAAGTGCAAAAGCGACACAGACCGAACATCCTGCTGCTTAAATGAAGTCTCCATATCGCAAGGTATCCTATAGCTGCTCACAAAAGGAAGGGAGAACTTGTGTACAGCTCCGGGGTAGAAACTATGCTTTACCATGCGCTAGGTCTTGGTTTACCCCCAGCACAGAAAAAGAAAGAGGAGGAGGAGGAGTTGGGGGTGGAGGGAGATGAGGGGGATGAGGTAAGAAGTTGTGGGTCTGATAAGAAAGGGAACTCATGATTCCATATATATAAAATGTATGTACATCTGCATCCACAAGTATGCAATGTGCATGGCGTGGCAAACACTGATAAAGCAATGCAGTAGTCATGAGCATCATAGGGGAGCCCATACGAGTCCTGTCTCTAGCATCTGCACTTAGGTGCTACTAAGATTTCGCTAAGAGTGTGTAATTGTGACAGAGACCTGGAGGAGCAGTATTCTAGGAGCAGGAACAGCACGTGCAAAGGCCCTGAAGCACACAGCCGCTTGGCTGACTAAAGGAACAGCAAGTATTCTGGAGCTGAGGAAGGGGAGGTGGCAGAAGACGACATCCTAGCTAGAAGACCAGGTCACACGAAGCCTATCAGGGCCATAGCAACAATATTGAGTTTACCCTGAGTAAGATGTGACCCACAGGGAGGTCAAATAAGGGGTCCTGTTATGTGGCATATGCTTTAAAAATAAAAGAGCATTCTAAGTTAGGTGTGAGTCCAGCACACAGGAGTTTGAGACAGGAGGACCGTGAGTTTGAGATTAATCTGGACTATAGCAAGATGATACACTACACAATACACACACACACACACACACATGCACACGCACAGGCATACATGCAGGCACATACACACAGACTGGAGAAATGGCTCGACAGTTAAGAGCACAGACTGCTCTTCCAGAGGACCCAGGTTCAGTTCCCAGCACCCACACGGCAGCTCATAATTGCCCATGACTCCGGTGCCATGGGATCCCATGACCTATATATAGACACAGATGCAAGCAAAATACCTATACACATAAATAAATAAAGTTTTAAAAACCATTCTGACATTAGGGTGTGGCTCACTGGTGAGTGCCCACGCAGCATGTGTGAGTCCTTGAGTCCACACCCACCATAACAGAGTAGTAAGCTCACTCCCAGTGACACATTTCTCCAACAAGGCCACACCTCCTAATAGTGTCACTCACTGGTGACCAAGCATTCAAACTCATAGCATGAGTCTACAGGGCCTTTCCAACTCAAACCATCACAGTAAGTAATAAGACCATGGTGGCCGCCAAGAGGCTCAGCAGTCGATAATTTGTCACAGAAACATGAAGATGTCTAGAGCAGAGGTTAAGGCAAGGAGGGAAATGCCAGCCTGAACTCACTCAGAGGCCATGGAGAAGGGGCCCCAGGCTTCCCACAATCTGCTGGATCTACCTTAGCTGCAGAGGAAACAGAGTCTGAGAACCAGGTTCAGTAGAGACAGGAAGATCAAGAGTTCAAAGCCAGCCTGACCTACATGAGACCCTGTCTCAGGAGACAAACAACAGGCAGGAAGAGGGTAAGAACACTTGCCACCAAGCCCGATGCCCTGAGTTCAGCCCCCACGGCACACATGGTGGAGAGAACTAATCCCACAGACTACACTCTGCCTCGCAGACCTGCGCTGTGGTACACATGTGCCTGCATACATGCTCACACAGGTAAACATGTGCCTACATACATGCTCACAGTTAAACATGTGCCTACATACATGCTCACAGATAAACATGTGCCTACATACATGCTCACAGTTAAACATGTGCCTAAATACATGCTCACAGTTAAACAAGTACCTGCATACATGCTCACAGTTAAACATGTGCCTACATACATGCTCACAGTTAAACATGTGCCTAAATACATGCTCACAGTTAAACAAGTACCTGCATACATGCTCACAGTTAAACATGTGCCTACATACATGCTCACAGTTAAACATGTGCCTGCATACATGCTCACACAGTTAAACATGTGCCTACATGCATGCTCACACAGTTAAATGCAAGCTTTTTTTTTTTTAAAGAACAGAAAGAAACAAGGAAAGAGCAGGTTATAATCCTACCTCCTAACTCTGTGACTATGCTGTACCTGTTTCCTCACCTGTGAGGGGGCTGTGTGACTCTGTATATAAAGAACAGAGCCCAGAGAATGGTGCAGTGAGGCCCACTGATGTGTGTTGAGGAGGTGGGTGTTTTGTCACCTCAGCAGACTAGAAGGACTCCAGGAAAGAAGAAGCTGGTATGCTAACAGAGTCTAGAAGAAGAGCATGCTTGGGGAGAAAGAGAAGTCACTGGGGCAGACCCCAAAGGGGTGGGGGAAGATGGCTCAGAGAAAGTCATTCGTCTCTTATGCCTTGGTTCCTGTTGGAAGTGGAAAATCAAGTGCAGAGGGAAGATGGGGAGCTGGCAACTTGACCCAAGAGCACCTGGGACCTCAGGGGGCAGCTGGGAGAGCCATTCAGCTGCTGCAAACTAACCCTGCCATCCAGAGGAAAAGCCAGAGCCTTTGAGAGGTGTGGAGGCAGAAAAGGCTTCCATCACTGGGTGACAGAGCCTCCTCGTAAACATTTGATATACGCCATCAGACAGTCTTCTGTGTGGCCACCAAGCCCTAAAGTCAAACTGGACCACCAGTAAAACATGACATATGCTCTCGGGAGCCCTTAGTCCCATAAAGAGAGCAAGAAAGGCCTGAGCCCCTGGAGGAATAGGGCCAACATGCTCCAGAGCTAACTACTTACCTTTCTCTGAAGCCGGAGCCAGGTCAATGAAGCTGCGGCATGTCTCACCTGGGGGAAGAAAAGAAGGATTTCAGAACAGGAGGTCACAGCTTCACAATCTGCCTGTCCCCTTCGGAGGGTCCCAGGGGCAACACCACCCCTAACCAGACCCACGAGGCAGTTTCTTTAACCAGAATGCCAAGCAGCCTGTTGTGTGCCAGGAGCTTGGGTGGGAACCACTAGCTCCCCATCCCTGACCAAGCCACAGGCCTGAGCTCCTCTGCCTCCTGCCCTGCATCTCCTCTGGCCACCAACCTGCCCAGGCTACACCTCATGCTCTCCCAGAAGCATCTAGTTCCTTCCTGTCCGTTCTGTACTCTGATCACATGAAGCATGAAGCATATGCACGCGTGTGCACGCCGGCACACGCACACACAGCTTTGGTCACATCTGTATCAGCGTAAATGAATGCAGACAGATTGTAATAATATATACAGCTTTAATGGGGAAATAGACTTACAGAACCACAGGTTCCCACGGAGAACAGGAAAACAGAAGGGGCAGCGGGGCTTACGCTCGCCAGATTTATATGTAAACATTAGCCCGAGGCGAACACGCCCCCTAAAGGGGTTGGGCTATCCCTACATCTCCCCATCTCCCCCTTTTGTCTAAATAAGACAGAACTAAACCAAATACAACTATATACAATAATAACAAATAATAAATATAACAAACAATATTGAGAATAAAAATTTTGCTAAACATTCTATCTCAAGGAGTCTAAATAATGTAGAGAGTAACTACAGTTATATAATCTTCAACTCCGTCAAAGATCTGGGAAGGGAATAAATATTTCTTAACAAATGAGAGATATCCAAAATGTGCAACAAATGACAGAGACAACTGACTACCTGGGCAATCACCCAAAGTCTTGTTTGTAATGTTGAGTCACCCAACTTTGGCTAAGGCCTAACATAACTGACATACCATTATTAAAGGCAAGGAACTTTCTTAGAACTTTCCTACCCTGTCTTGGCAAGATAAGACAATCCTGTTTCATCCACTTATGGATATTCTGTATCTTTGTCAGTAGTTGAGGTATGTGCTTTTTTTAACTCAAAGGCCAGTTCTGCCAAGAAGACAAGCTCCCAATGGAGTGTCTCTAGTGCTCAACGTTCTCTCGGGAGTAGAGTGGTGTCGCCAGGAGTGATTGTGTCTCATTGGTACAGAATTCTAGGTTAGATTAAGAAGATTCTAGGTGGGGCTGGAGAGATGTCTCAGTGGTTAAGACCACTGCCTGCTCTTCCAGAGGTCCTGAGTTCAATTCCCAGCAACCACATGGTGGCTCACAACCATCTGTAATGAGATCTGGTGCCCTCTTCTGGCCTGCAGACAGAATACCAAGAATACTGTATATGTATACATAATAAATAAATAAATCTTTTTTTAAAAAAAAGAAGAAGATTCTAGGTTAGATTAAAGGCCATTTTCTACAGCTCTTCGAAGAGGCTGAAGATTATACTATCTATACTAAATATAATCTCTATGTATCTAAAAAACCTGATTAACCTAAAAATAAATATGACAAACATATAATTCTCAATACCTATCTAACTTGAAGACTAAAAGAATAAACAACTGTGCAATATATAAAGACAATGATCTTCACCTGTAAACAATGTCATTGCATATCAAATGTAAACAATGTTATTACATAAATAGTATCAGAGGTAGAAATGTACATTGTAATATGGTAGATGTATCAATACAATATAGACAAAGTTATAAGCATATTCTTTTTTTTTAGGTTTTTTTTTTTTTTTTAGTTTTTTTTCGAGACAGGGTTTCTCTGTAGCTTTGGAGCCTGTCCTGGAACTAGCTCTTGTAGATCAGGCTGGTCTTGAACTCACAGAGATCCGCCTGCCTCTGCCTCCCGAGTGCTGGGATTAAAGGCATGTGCCACCACTGCCCGGCTAAGCATATTCTTATACAAAAATAGAGGTAGGAACACTCACATTCAGTATTCAATATATCAATATACAAGAAACAGTACCAATACAATTTTCTAAAAACAGTAATTCACAAATACCAGTCATCCCATCAAACCAGTTAATCCCCCCCTTTTTTAATTTATTTATTTATTAAAGATTTCCGTCTCTTCCCCGCCACCGCCTCCCATTTCCCTCCCCCTCCCCCAATTAAGTCCCCCCCCCTCAGCCCGAAAAGCAATCAGGGTTCCCTGTCCTGTGGGAAGTCCAAGGAACCCCCACCTCCATCCAGTTCTAGTAAGTTGAGCATCCAAACTGCCTAGGCTCCCACAAAGCCAGTGCGTGCAGTAGGATCAGAAACCCATTGCCATTGTTCTTAAGTTCTCAGTAGTCCTCATTGTCCGCTGTGTTCAAAGAGTCCGGTTTTATCCCAGGCTTTTCCAGACCCAGGCCAGCTGGTCTTGGTGAGTTCCCAGTAGAACATCCCCATTGTCTCAGTGTGTGGGTGCACCCCTCGCGGTCCTGAGTTCCTTGCTCGTGCTCTCTCTCCTTCTGCTCCTGATTTGGACCTTGAGATTTCAGTCCTGTGCTACAATGTGGGTCTCTGTCTCTGTCTCCTTTCCTCGCTTGCTGAAGGTTAATATTCAGGAGGATGCCTATATGTTTTTCTTTGAATCCCCCCTTTTTTTTTAAATACCCCTAATTCCATAAAATATCTCCCCATCCCCTCAACCCTAAACCAACCACTAAATGATGTCCCTAACCCTAAGGGCAAACTCTGTTGTTAGAGGGGACGTCGTCCTCTAAGATTGCTTCTAACTGACATGGGGGCGACGTTCTTCTTAGGGGGGGTCCTGTGAAAGCAAATGATGGTAAAATTCCCAAATTAACCTTTGACCTAAGAAAATTGTAACTAGTCTCTGAGCGTTTTGAGAAGGTCCGGCCAGAGTGTTATCAAAAATGTGCACCATTCGAAATTGTCTTGTGCAGTTGGTATCCAAAAACAGAGTTTGGAGAGAAAAAACTGTGCCCATATTCCCAAATATTGTTTATAAATGTTCTTTTACACTTAAAGGGGGATATGATATAGGTATGAATAATTTGCATTGGTATGGATTTTAAGGTCAATTTGTTATATGTATATGCATATTTCTAATCTTGATTAAGGTATTGTGATGGTGTAGTTCATTTTTAAAATGTAATGTATAATTAGGAAATATAGGTTGTTAATGGATAATCATTGATAATAGTCAAGCTTGTAGTCACGTTAGTTAGATTTTCTAGATATGCATAGATATATTTCAGACAGGCATTCTTCATATCTTTCAAAGACTACAGAATATGGCATTTTAAATGTTTTAATAACGTAGGGCTTTTCATGACAATGAGACACGTCTGCTCCTGGAAGCACCAATCTACTTCAAGAGGAAGATGGGCATCGAAGAGGCTCGTTATGGAGTTTGATAGCCATTTGGGCAAGAAACTGCTCTTGCCTGGACTGATGCATAAACTGGACACAAAGAACCCGCAGAGAGAGGACTGCTGAACTTGCCTAAAGTTGAGATGGTCTTTCGGGGTTCCTGATTCATGAAAGAGTCTGTGAGACATTCTGCAGGACACAGCAGAAAGTGACTGAACTGTCTTTGAAATTTCCTGCTTCATGGAAAAGTCTGCTGGATACTATGGGCCTAAAGGCCAAAGATGGATGCCCCAACGGTACAGAGGAACTTTGGGTGACTGTACAGGCAGCGAGATGTCTCTGTCATTTTTAGAGTTTTGGATTTCTTGTTTACTTAGGTAGTATTATATCCTTCTGGAGTCTTTGATGAAGTTGAAGAATGAATAGATAGTAATAGTTTTCCTTAGTTATAAGAGATAAAATAGATATAAATATTGTAACTGTAATTCTTACTTGATAACTGTTTTGTTATATGTAATTTTACTATGTTAACGTTAAAGCCTTTCTTTTTTGTTTAAACAGAAAAAGGGGAAATGATGTGGGAGTGATTTCTTTCTAATCTGTTGCTTTCTTGGTTAATTAATAAAGAAACTGCCTAGGCCCATTTGATAGGCCAACCCTTAGGTGGGTGGAGTAAACAGAACACAATGCTGGGAGAAAGAAGCTGAGTCAGGGAGTCGCCATGATTCTCCCACTCCAGACAGATGCAGGTTAAGATCTTCCCTGGTAAGCCACCTCGTGGGCTACACAGATTATTAGAAATGGGTTAGATCAATATGTAAGAGCTAGCCAATAAGAGGCTGGAACTAATGGGCCAAGCAGTGTTTAAAAGAATACAGTTTCCTTGTAATTATTTCGGGTATAAAGCTAGCCGTGCAGGCGGTTGGGTGCCAGGGACGCAGCCCCACCACTCCTATCTCAGCAAACATCCCATAGAAGAAGCTCAAATTCCCACAGTGGACCCAGGGAGGCTTCCTCTGGCCTCTCCAGGCTCCTCTCCACACCCTTCCTGCCCCAGTTCCTCTTATCTGCTTGGAACCTCCACAGTTCTCAGACAAAGTTTCCTAAAGATCTCTGGTTCCTGAGCTTCCTGGAAGTCACCTAACAATGGCAAGGCCCAGAATGCAGTGGCGGCCGCTGGGGCTAAGGAAGACGGGGCCTGAGCACAGGGGGCCTCGAAAGTTCTCTGCTCTGATTTGTGTCATTCCTGCCCACGATCCCGCAGGCCACCCTCGGGCGGACAGCTTGCTGGTGCCCAGGCAGGCTTGTTTCTACCCTCTGCTTTGCACTGAGAGACCAGACCCTGCCTTTACAGATGAAAACCGCAAGGCTCTGAAATGCTGAGCCACCAGCCTGGGCCGAGTGGCCAAAATAGCGCTGCTTAGATTATCATCAACAATATAGATGTGTTGACAAGCAAGAACATTCCAGAAGCGAGCGATAAGGAGAAAGGGGCTAAGGAACTGGCCTAGTGGCTGAGCAGCAAACACACAAAAGCCCCGGGGCTGAAGCTCAACAACATCTCCCCTCAAGCAAGAAAATTGAATTTTTTGTTAGATTTTGAGTAAATCGTTTTAAACTTTCTTTAATGATACACTATTTTCCCAAATGCTGGAGAGGTG